CTGCGGTATGAGTCGATGAGCACGTAGAGGACTTTTGAGTTCAGGAACCCCACAACGGGGTTCAAGAGAGCCACAGCGGCATGGACAGGACCTGGTACCAAGGGGTTTAATTTCAAAAAAGTAATAACAATCAAAAGTATCATACCCAATTACTTATCAGCTAATTGAAATAGAAACAAGTTGGTTAAAGGAAATATTTTTTGCCTATCATCTAAATTTTTTTGCTTTCATTTACATATTTGGTAATGTCAGTCTCATTTCTCCGGGTTCAAATGGCAATAAGTGATTTTCACCAAAAATGTATCTCTTAAAATTGATCAATATAGCACCTCAGTTTGCAACAAGGAATTTTTCAGTTTTTTTGCCGAAGGTTATCGTGTTCATAAGTTTCTTTGACTTGCATGTATTGTAATTTTAAAAAAGTTTGAATTTTGAGCAAGTTGGTACACTAAGTTATTTTGAACTTTACTCACATTGTGCACGTCCCGGTCACAGTGCCTCTGTGTTTCAATTTCAATTCAAAAATAGTTGCTAAAAAGAAGGCGTATAACGCTTTCGAAAACAAATTTTTTATTGAAGCGAAAAAGCGTGAATTACTTATACTTTAAAAAATGGATTTTTTTTTTGCGATAAGCAAGGGTATCGCCATCGGGTACTAGATTTTTACCGCAAATAGTTCTGTGCAAAGTATCTACAAGGAATGACCTTAAGTTTATATGCAATTTTCCATCTGCTAGAAATTAGGCAAAAAGGCCCTCTCCATTAATGAATGCAGAAATGGTGCAAAAACGTGATCGATTTCAAGCTTCGAAAGTGGAATTTACTTTTTGGAATTTCCAGCGGAATTTCTTTTTTCATTTAAATCCAGTTTTCTCAAATTGGGTTAATGCCATCAAGAACGCCAGTTATAATTTGCTCTTTACACTTTCGAGCATTAGTGACCGTAGTGTATTAGTATGACTAGTCTTTTTTTCGAAACTAAGTAGCAAACATTGGTTCCATTTTTGGTGGGTGGGACCTTAACGGTTTTTTGATAACATGTGCTTTGACATTCGATCAGTAATAAGTTAACAGTTGATGCCTTTTTAAATCATCAAATGAAGCGCGCATTTTTTTCAAACGTAACAATCATAAAAACTCGATTTCAGGGATTTTTTGAAATGCATAATTTGCACATAATGTGGCTTTATTATTTGATTACTAATATCAAACTTAGTCTGGATGCCGTCATCTTGTATTCCAAATTATTACATAAAAAATTGTGTCTATTCGAATTTGGTGCCACTTTTCCTGCATAGCATTGGCAGTTTTTAGCAAATGTAGCTGCTTTAGCTGTGACTTTTGTTTGCCGATTGCTAAGTGTTCGTGGCCTAGAGGGCAAGGCGTGAGTTTCTAAATCTCGAGGTTGAAGATTTGAATCCTATACGTAGCAAAGTTTTAAAAATTCGAGGCTAATTTTTGTTGTTCCGACTTTCGATACAAAAGTAACGGAATATTTGTGCTCGGGGTGGGTTTTTCTTTCTTCAGACAAATTTCGACTTTTTAAGTAGCCATTTTTGACGGATTTTTTTTATATCATTCGAAAAGTATTGTTGTCCTGAGCTCAAATTTGATAGATATTTTAGCTGTGAGCATTTTCGTGAAGTTACGGGGGTTTGAAGATTGCCATTTTAGCCAATTTGGGACAATTAACGCGCGATATATTTCGCGCTATTAACGCGTAAGCGGAGAGTTAATCCGTCTTAGCAATCGTTCCAAATTGGTTAAAAGAAGTTTATTTGCCATAATTGGTTTGTTACAAGGAGCGAAATTTATCCTTTTGTACTTTATATGGCGTGTGGGGTGATGATTTTCATAAAAAATTTCAAATTTTAGAAAAAAAAGTTTTACATTGTTTTATTTCATTGAGTTTTTTAATGTTATTATTGCTCCATAAACCTTAAAAGGCAGTCGAAACCTTCAGGGCTTCGCCCTGATACGAGCAGTCTTGTTATTTTTTATTTCAGTTGATATAGCTGGTTTTTTATCGTGTTCTCGCTAGTGTTTGCGAAGCGCAGCTTCCCCTCTGTGTTTCATGAGTCTTTGCCAACTGTCTGCTGACTATGTTTTTGTTTTCGAATTTAAATTTGCTTCTGTGTTAGATGAAATTGTTCCGCAGAGAGAATTTTTTTTGGCAATGAGAGAGAATCGCATTGAACTAAACTTTGGTTGTCTTTCTTGCCGCATACCGATCTTGTTCCAAGTGATGTTATGGTATCTGAAGAAATCTGTTCAAATTGTAAAATTTTAATTTGACGAATCTTCTTTTTTTTTAAAAAAAAGTGGATGTCGTTCATAAGGTGATGAAATTCGTCTAATAGGATGTGAATTTAAAGTTCAGTTGAGTTGCAAAATTTAGTATTAATGGGATTGAGTTGGATGCAATACGAGCCATTCGATCGGATGGCGGATGGAAAGCGAATATTTGAAGACTAGATTCTCTGAAAATTTATTTGATACCAATTAGTAAAATTACACGGGCGCGTTCTATTTGTTAATCCATTTCCCAGAACTGAGAAGCTGGCAGACAGTTTTTAACTGAAGGGTGCGCTAAATTTAAATATATTCGAATGTACTTGGAATGAACTTCCAAGGAGCAGTTTTGTTTGGATTTCAAAGGAAGTCATTAAGTCATATTATAATAACATATGCTCAGGAAGCGCCATTTTTTGTTCAGGCTGCTTTTATATGTAACGGTACTTAATGTAATTATCCTAACCTCAATATTTTTGAAGTGCTTAGTAAAGCAAGCCTTATTTGTGAAACTGAATGTTTGCAGAGAATAAGATGACAAACGATGTCTACTTGACGAAATATTTTCATGGAAGAAGCCCAAAACCCGCTTTATAGTTTTTTTTAATTCAAAATGTTCTTCCAAAATTAACATTAAGTTTGATCGAAATAAACATGTCAAAATAAGGATAGCCGACTGAAAGAAGCAGAGAATGTTCCAACCAGAGTAGTAGTAAAAGATAAAAGTTTTTTTTTGCTAGAATTTTTTGCTTGGCTTATTCGACAGTAATAATAAAATAGGAAAATTGGGAACAAGTTTTTGTAGAAAAATGACTAAAAAAACCCAAAGACTACGTGAAAAATAACGTTAAAACTTTGAGTGTGCTCGCATTCAAATCATGATTTTACAGAAAATTGATTAGTCAGGAGGGCAATGATGTTCTGTTTATTGAAACGTAAGGGCTTGAATGATGCGACTTCCGTGACAGCTTCTCCTTTTTTATTTGTTTTTGGTGTTTTGTAGTAATAGCATGTGTCTTGTCCGTTTTTTTGGGTACTGCTGATTAGAATTCGGATAGGTAATAGGCAATTTTTTGAAGACATTAGACACTAAATATGTGATCGGAAATGCAAATCTTGTTGGATATGACCTGCAAATATGTGATGGCCAAAACCTACATACCAAATTGTCGAACTTTCAAGAATGCATTTCTTGTGCATTTTTCGAAGTTTTTGAATTATGGTAATTAGTTATGCATTTTTGGACATTAAAGACTCCCATTTGTTTTCTTTTTATATACCTATGTACGAAAAAGCATTAGTTTGTAGACCTAATTTCCGGCGACCAAAAAAATCTGTCAAGTACAAAATAATGCCGAGTTACTTAGAGGGTGCTGTTTTTTGTTATAATAATAATTAATTCTACTTATATTCTGCGATTTATCCGGAGAAAATTATAGATTGAAGAAAAAATTAGAAATTTTGAACTCTTATCTTTCGTTTCTCTTGCATCGTTTTAATATGTTTCTTAAAGAAAATAGTAAAAAAAAGCAAAAAAAGAAATCAGATTTCAATTGATAAAAATTTTCTCGGGCTTACGATTAATAAAATAGGAAAATTGGGAACAAATTTTTGTAGAAAAATGACTAAAAAAACGAAAAAAAAAATGCAAAGTTTGGTTTTTTTGCGGAAATTTTTTGAATTTTTGAAAGTTCTTGATTCCCAAAATGGCGCAAACAAACCATAAAAACTAACTTTACTCGGAAAACACTAAGATTTCACGGCTCAAATTATGCATAGTTAAGCTATTTTTAGCCTGCTCGCTCACCTTATTCGCTCGATGCTTGATCCAAAATCAAAAATTTGAAACTGGTTTTCTCGACACTGAGAAGTTTTGTTCGATTTCGATTTTTAAATGTCGTTCGAATCACGAATGATAGGGCTTTTCCATGATATATCACTCGATGTTTTCCGATGATTATTTGTGGTACCTGATTTTGCGTGAAAAACAAAAAGAAAAGTTAAAAAAAAACACAATACACCCGAATACAAAGTTTCTTCTCATTTTCAATGGTCGGAGCAATAAGTGTCAACAAATATATATTATTTCATCTAGTAGTATTCCTTTCCATATAGCACTGTTGACACTTGTATTTTTATCTGAGTTGATGTCACAAATCTTGTTCTTCTTTTTGGAAGACACCTCTGATTAAACTGAGTATGCCTAAAAGGTTATGCCAACGAATGTGATTACGTGTCTATTACACTGAAAGCGATTAAGAAGCTCTGGAATGAAATATGGAAAACAGTTTTATGGGGTTTGGATTTAAGTAATTCCGACCCTTAAGTATTTCCAGAGGCGCCAACTATTGTTGTGGGGAGAGTTCGAGTCGAAAAAGCGCTAAACTTTGGTAAAACTTCAAAACGTGATCTTGGCGTTTTTGGTTTGTTTTCAAAATGGCGTTCTTCGATTGTTTTCGAACATTCTAGTAAATAGCGAGAAAAATCATGAAAGTTATAAATCATATTAGTTAACATTACTAAAAGGTCGACAAAATTTTCCTCCCAACCGCGAGAAAATCTTAGATCCGGTCCTTTTTCTAAACTTTTATTCCAAAATTTGAACCATTTAAACGAGCATGTTTGGCCCTTACCTTGCATTGTTTTTTGTAAGCTGTTACCTTGATAGCTTGATGTTGAAGTTAATCAGAAATCGATTTATTTTCCAGGTGAAGGCTTGGGAGCGTCACTACGTCGACTGTTTTGGATCCCAAGGAAGACAATGAAAATCGAAAAATGCTATCAAAACGGACAGATTTCAAATGAGCAGGCAAAACCCATTCAAACTTCAATTTAACCACCCATTTCCATTGTATCTTCAAATACAAATTTTATGACGGCGGCCTATTCTAGTGTCAAGTTTAAGGACTTGTTCTTAAATCTCTGGAGAACTGATATTAAATTTCAACAAAAAATAAAACTATTAGGATCCAATTATCTGATGGATGGGATAGATTCACAGATGTAATTTCATTAGAACATCATTTGGATGAAATTGAAGCCCTCGCTATGTACATCAATTGATGCGATCTTAGATGTGTGTGACTTGTTACGATGAAAATTATCATGACTATCGATCGCTCTCTCCGATATCGATTAAGCCTGTACATATTGGTGTAACGAAAAAACGATCAGCTCATTGTTGTTCTGTCGGGTACAGTAGATGTTTGGACTGCCATTCGGCTGGTTTCGTGGAAAGAATTTCTTTTCTGATGCCGCCAAATATGTGAAAAACTATGAATACATATCACAACTGAGCTTAATGTAGTATACTCGTTTTGTGGCGCAATTAGTATTTTTTTCAGTGAAATGGCTGGAATTTAATTCGGGACATTATTATTATTGTTACCACTACTATTATCATTACTTCACTTTTGTGACGTTTGAATCTCGTTGAATTTTTGTTGTAGTCGTTATATCAGATTATAATTAACAATTTATTTTTATATCTTTTGGAGCAAGCCGCGCTAAGAACACTCAAAATTCTGGAATAGATGACAAAAACTGAAGACTTTTAAGTTAATTAAGATAAAATTCAAATAGACGCGCAAAAGCGAATTTAGATTAGAACCGTAAATTAAAATGAAACTAAATAAATGTGGCGTTTTAAAGTGCGCGTTGATGATTGTGAACAGACTCTCATTCACAATCACCTACCGAGCTAATTTTGAAAAAAAGGTAATATGCGAGTCATTCAGTTAGATGAAGACGTTTTTTGCTAAATAGAATGAATGAATTTGTCAGTGCTGGAGTTTTAGTGAATAATCAGCCATTGTTGACAAACAATCAAAATATAATCAATTTAGGCAAACTACAGTAGATATGTTAGGAAACTAACGATGCTGATTAAATGAAGACGCTACCAGACGATACAAGATATTGCTTTTAATAAATTTTTTCATACCTGAATAGGTTTTGTATTCAAGTCTGGCGAATTTGATAAAATTGCATTAGTATGAATTTTAAAAAAAGTTATACGAAACTGTATAAATGTCGCGTAGGATTACGTCTCAAATGGCATAATTCCCAAATAGCATAAAATGAAAGGTTTCCCAAATGGCTTAGTTTTCATGCAACAGTTGCATTGAAAAAATCAAGAACAACTTTTTCGTGAACAATGTGAGAAAATTAGTCAAGTTGTCAATTCAAATTTTGATTGTGATTTTTTCTTAAAATTTTTCATCAAAAGCGAAAAGCATAAGCTTGCGGTTATTGATAAGCGGATCTTGTTAACTATTTCCCCCTTTTGGACTTTGTTAACTATTTCCCCACCAGTGCATGTATTATTTTTGACAACCATTTCTGTATAAAACATGCATTTCAAAAATGTCAACAATTGATTGGGTTTTCATTTTCGCGCGTTTTTATTTGTATAACTCACTATTTATATAACACCTTCATAAAAAATTTTTAATTATGTATATTTTCTGAAAATTGTTTTAAGCTATTGAAAATGTGGCCGCCAAAGTTGAATTTCTGAAAATCGAAATAGGGGGAGAAATAGTTAACAAGATCATAATAAGCTTCTTGTAGTCAACTTTCCGACAAATTTGTCACTTAAAATTTGTTTGGAAGCTATTAATTCCAAATCTTGTTTACATGTTTTCGTTCCTGGCAAAATGTTAGAATTAGAAAATGATAAAAACGTTTGAATTGCAATGATAACTTGAAATTTATGCCACTTAGGAAAAATTTCATTTTTCTGCCATTTGGGAATTATGCAATTTGGGAAGCTAATGTAGCGTAACATAATTGTTCCGACTTTCGAAGAAAACGGAATATTTATGCTCGGTGTTTTTTTTATTCAATCAATTTTCACCGATCGAAGTAATCATTTTCAGCAAAAATTTTTTATAGCCCATTGAAGATATCGACTTCCTGAGTTCAAATGTAACAAAATATTTCACCTTCGATAATTTTCTGTAAAGTTCTGGGGGTTTGAAAATTGCCAATTTTGCCATGTTCTGGACTAAACTTTGAAGAGTTTGTTCATAATGCTCAGATCGTAACGCGAATTATTTATGTGTGGCGAACTATCCCGCACAACAAAATCGTTTCAAATTGAATTGAGGCTAGCTAATTGGTCGTATTAATTTCGTACGACGAAAAATTTTACACATTGATTTTTGTCCAAAATGCATAGGTTTTCAGTATTTTCTTTTCCCAAAAACTATTCTATATAAATTAAGGGACAGTCGGAACAGTCAGGGCTTTGCCCTGATATACGAGCAGTCTTGTTTACGATCTACATCGGTCGTCAGGAAAACTTGACACGCGAATGCTCAATTTGATCAGGAGAACTGGCTCCAAAATTACAGGTATAAAAAGTTTCATGTATTCATTTCGCGGTACGAATTAGTTTTTTTTTCATATTTAACAGGATTAATGCGCGACAGTCCTAAGAGCTTGCGTTCAATAAATTGATTGCCTATGATGAATTAGCGTAAAAGAGTAAGTTTATATCATTAATGCATGAAATGGAATTTCACCTTACCATAAGCTTTTCAATAAAAAGTGTTCACGCTCAATTGGCAAACCAACAAAGGCCCTTTTTATTGTGTTTAAAAAAAGGTCACCAAGAAAATTGACATAATCATCAGTTCAGACACTTCTTAAATCGATTTAGCAATCTCCCTGCTGAACCGTTTTTGAGACAGTGCGCAGAGATAATAACCTTACCCAGACTACGTGAAAAATAACGTAAAAACTTTGTGTGCTCGCATTCAAATCATGATTTTACAGAAAATTGATTAGTCAGCAGGGCAATAATGTTCTGTTTATTAAACCGTAAGGGCTTGAATGATGCGATTTCCGTGACAGCTTCTCCTTTTTTATTTGTTTTTGGTGTTTTGTAGTAATAGCATGTGTCTTGTCAGCTTTTGGTACTGCTGTTTTTTGAAGACATTAGACACTGGCAATTTTTTGAAGACATTAGACACTAAATATGTGATCGGAAATGCAAATCGTGTTGGATATGACCTGCAAATATGTGATGGCCAAAACCTACATACCAAATTTTCGAACTTTCAAGAATGCATTTCTTGGCATTTTTATAAGCTGTTCGTGAATTGCATTTTTAGAAGTTTTTGAATTATGGTAATTAATTATGCATTTTTGGGTATTAAACAATCCCATGTGTTTTCTTTCTATATACCTATGTACGAAAAAGCATTAGTTTGTAGTCCTAATTTCCGGCGACAAAAAAAATCTGGCAAGTACAAAATAATGCCGAGGGACTTAGAGGGTGCTGTTTTTTGTTATAATAATAATAAATTCTACTTATATTCTGCGATTTATCCAGAAAAAATTATAGATTGAAGAAAAAATTAGAAATTTTGAACTCTTATCTTTCGTTTCTCTTGCATCGTTTTAATATGTTTCTTAAAGAAAATAGTTTAAAAAAGCAAAAAAAATCAGATTTGAAAATTTTTTATTTTCGTTTTATTTCAATTGATACAAATTTTCTCGGGCTTACGATTTATGATCTAATGCTTTTTACCTAAATATGTCAATGCTTTTTTTTAACTAAAACTATTTGTTGAAGTAGTCGCAATCAATCAAATAAGTATCTTTTTTTATGCATTAGGTTGTCTATAGACTGTTTCGGCTCAATTTAAAAATTTTTAAAGGATATATTGAAATTAATTAGATTTATATGGTGTCCGTGTTTGCACAGAGATTAGGTTTTTGTTGTTACGTGTTAGTTTTGTTGGGATGTTTGCCTTTTTCTTGAGTTGAAATTAAAATGTCGGTTTGTTATATGCTTGTTCTCGTCTTACTTTAGAGAGTAATTTTAATAGTAGTTCATTGATAAACTTCTGTCCTGTGTTTTTCTTATTTTTCCTTACATGTGGTCTTAGGCAAAATGCAGTTCGAATAAACAAGTTTTCTTGGGTCTGCAGATTTCTTAAAGTGGTTTTAGTAAAAATTCCATTTTCATAGAAACCATTTTTTATATCGGGTTTTATAAATTATTTTTAAATTCTAATGATAACGGATGAGCCGATAAACTGTCTTGTTTGATGGAAATGAATCGGTTGCACCTTTTTCTTACTATTTCATTGTATTGGTTGTAGGTAAAGTTTTGATCCAAAAATATAAAAACGTATTAAACTGCATTTTAAAAAGTCAATCGGTGTTTTAGTTCCATGTAAAATTTTCAACGTTTTCTTTTTTTAATCCATGGCTAATCACTTTTAAGTTTGTATAGTTTCGTAATTGTTAGAGTCATCGGCATAAAAAACATTCACTGCGATCTGGTATATTTGCAAGATCAAGATAAGAAATTTATGAAAAGGAAAAAGTAGGGGATCTATAAAAGAACCTTGAGCTACCCCAAAATGAAGCTTCTGTTCTTGAGCATTAATTTGAGTGAAAACACACTGGTTTTTTACGTTGCTGAGGTATGGTTTTAGTTATTTAAGAGAAAAGCTTCTCAGACCGTGAAGGTGGCGTTTTGAATAAGAATACTATGATCTACCGTGCAGTGCAGTTTCCACAATAGCATCAATTGTTGGGCGTTTGTTGCGAAATCCGAACTGGTTTTTTTGCTCAAGATTTCAAACTTTTTCAAAAAGTGATCAATATTTTCGATAAAATGTTCTCAAAAATGTTTTCTTTGCAGGAATTAAAGGAATAAGTTTTTAATTGCAAGTAATTGACGTGTCTCCTCCTTTAAAAAATAATTTTATTAAGTATGTTGTTATAATAGGGTTCATTATGGTAATCAGGCATTTTGACAGACCCATCTTACCTTTGGGTTATTTTTGCTAATTTCGTTAATTTCTCATAAATTTCTTGTTCACCGATTGTTCACAGGAAAAAAAAATTTTTTTTGTTATAATTTTGGAAACATTATTGTTTTTGTGAAATCCACATGACAACTCTGGACCGACTTTGACCAAATAATTGTTGAATTCTTGTGCAATTGTATGTATTTTTTTAGTTTTTGAACTGTTTTCCTATTATCGCCTCTAAAATTTCTCACACAATTATAAAAGTTTTTCTTAGTTTGTCCAGTTGCTTCAAAGGTTAAGCCGATAGAGAAATCTTTTTTATTATCCGATACCGTTTTTTGACAGTTTGCTGTTTCATCTTTTGCTTTACCTCTAAAGTATCTGCAGGTTGATATAATTTAAGTAAATTGCACTTTTAGAACTCGCATATTTGATTTCATTTGATAACCGGTTTTCTTTTGACAGCGGTACGTTGCATCCAGAGTGTTTTGCACTCTGCTTCTGCAGCTCTCCATAATTGCTACCGTAAAATAGTTCCGTTTCACATTTTTCTATAAATTCAATGTTGAAGTCAACTTCAGCCCCATAATCATCAGTGATTGTGTGTTCAATATTTTAATTGTTGAAAATTGAAAAGTAGTTTTGCTACCGCCAAATCTTGGGTTGTCTTTGTGTTCTGT